AGGAGATGCTGGGAAGGGTCCTGAATGATCATCTTGGATTTAAGTAGTGATTACATTCATTCATCATCTGGTTTGAAGTGGGTAGGAGTTCTTTACTTTGGAGGGCAAGGCTAGGGGAGGTAGGTACTTGGATTGTGAAAAAGAGATAGTCACATAATGGCTTGTACAGTGCTAGAACAGAGTCCAGTTGTACACTTGCATTTAAAAGAAGAAGTGATCAAAATTAATGTCACAAACATCAAAGTATTTATATACCACTAAAGTCAAAGTTAGCTTAAGAGGAACAATAGATCATTTTAGTGTAAGAACTATCAAATCCAAACATAGTATTTGCCAGGTCCACATACATGATAAAGTTCAAGTGATGAGTCTGTTTTATCGAAAGGATTTCTGGAAGCCTTGTTATGATACTGACAGACAACAGATAACTTAGGATTATAAAGAAAAACAGATGCAATGTGATTACTAGTTATTTGTTCCAAGGAAAAAAATACTCCTTATACTGTCGAGTCTGCTTTCATTGTGTGCACTAGATCAAGGTGGTCTAGGATTTGATCACCTTCGGCTCCCAGCTTGCCTGTCTCCATTGAACATTAGATTTGTTATCATTCCTAGCACTCATTTTATATATTTTGAACTCCTGAATATATGTGATTGCTCAGGTCTCTGCTGAAAGCTTTAGATTACTTCTAAAAATGTCTGTGCATATGTAATTGGTTCCGGCTACACTTGTGGCATAGGTTCCTGGATGCTGGAGCAGATATAAACATATGTGACAAAAGCGCAGCATGAACTGTCTTCTTATATGATTAATTATAAGTTTCTGGCTATAAGAAGAAAACTTACAAATGATAATTTGAGGGTTTTTTAAGCTCTCAAAGTATATAACATGGTTCCAGATGTATTAAACTTGTTTTCCTTAAAATGTTTCATTTATAGCCGAAAAAATATGTGAAAGTCAGGGCTTTAGTCACTTTCTTAAAGTCCCGTAGCTAATATGTATAGAGCCAGAAACAAAATTTTGTTATTCCAATGCTGGGACTATGATTTCTCATCAAACAGAAAGAATGATAGCAAATATAGTATAAATTCCTCGATGCCCAACTTTATATTGAAATTGAAATTGCAATAATGTTGCAAAGGCTGCACCTGGGGGCTCTATCCAAGCTGTCCCAGGGACCTTCCGGTTTCCCCCACAGTCAAGGTTGCCTGTGCTCACAAAATTGTTGCCAGTAAATCCCTGCCATACTTTTCTGTGACATGTCTTCCCTTGGTCAGGTGGGAAGAGTTGCGTTAGTGTTTGACTCTTTGCACAGGCCCTTGGAACAATATTAAATGGGGTGCTGCACTTGGCTTTCAGTTCTCATGAGTACCTCGGGGCTGTTCATGGGATCTTCCACTGCTAATTCAAGCCCCTACTTAATGCTGTTGCTGGCGCCGGCCCCAGGACCTCAGTCCCTGTACAATATCCTGGACTCTTCCTGTTTCCAGGAGGGGGCTTTGAACTATTGTGAAACTAAATGAAATCGTGGGAGTTCATTATTTATTAAAAGAAAGTGTTATTTTTCTTGTGCATAAATGACAACCTACTAATTATACAGGGCTGATGTGGTCTTTATGATAATGAATAAAGCTGGCTCAAGTCAACATTGGCATCAAAAGCAGCCTTGGCAAGGCAGTAGGAAACAATGTGTGGCATTGGAAGAAATTCTAAACCAGCAGCCAGGAACCCATTTTACTATATTACTAGCAAAAGATCTGATCTGCCTTTGACTTTTTATGACACTAGGAACAATTACTTCATTATCACATGCTTTAGTTACTTAATTTATAAATGGCAGCAAATTTGCCTATCACTAAGCAGCCATTATCACTAAGCAGCAATATATACATTTGAATATATTTCTATATATGCATGCTTCTGTGACATGTTCTTATAACTGTAAGTTGCATGTCTTTTTATATAACTGAGAATGTATATTTATATGCAATTCCTTGCCCAATATATTTTTCTAATTCCTAGTATAAAGTCTGAAATCTTATACCTAGAATTTATTCCTTGAATGTTCAAGAGTCCCTTTGCATTTAGGGATAATATCATGTTTACTAGTATTGGGCTGGACCTAGAAATAAACTTTAGAATTATTTTGATCAGTTTGATTTTAAAAGAAAACTAATAAAAATCTGCATCAAAACTGCAACATTTTCTAAGTCTTCTAACATAGGCCTACGTGAGAATCAGCTCCAAATTACCTTTCTTATACTTGGTTTAGATGTGTTTCAAGTGTACCCTACACCTCTAAGCTCTTGGGTTGAACTTGTGTTCCCTGGGTGACGATGCTGGGAAGTGGGGTGACCTTGTAAGCAGCGTGACTTTGTGGGAGTCCTTAGGTCAGATGGCTCCGTGCCCTCAGAAGGGACAGGGGACCTATGCCTGTCTGGCTTCCTGTCGTGAGAAGTGCTATCCTTCTCTTCCTCCACTTATCCCACCATCCACTGTTGAGTCATCACCAGAGCCTGTCCTGTGACGATCCGATTATCAGCCTCCAAAACGCTGAGCTAAATAAGCCTCTTTTCTTTATAAAGTTATGATACCTCAGGTATTTCATTCCAGTTATGCAAAACAGAAGAGTGCACCTCATAAACTGAACCACTTTAGGGTACAGTTCTATGACTTGTATTCTCTGTATCCCTATGCTGGGCAAAGAGGAAACGCTGTCCTGCAAAATGGAGACAAGGCCTCACAAGAGCCTCTTTCCCAGCACAATGGGTTGTTATTCAGTTCAGTGCTGCAAGACAAAAAATAGGCAAGGCTTCCATTCCGTTCTCTAGGCACTTTGTTTCTCTGATTCTTTTGGATTGATCTATCATTCACACGCCATAAAATTCATTTAAAAGTATGTGCTTCAGAGATTTTTTAATATATTCAGACAATCCTTCTTATCTCACCACTCTCTAATCTCAGTATAGTCTCTTCTCTCAGAAAAAAAGTCATTTCCCATTTACCCCACCAGACGTTGACAAATACTACTTTCCAATTTGGATGGGCTTACTCCAGACCTTTTGTACAAATAGAATCAAGTAACATGTGGCCTTCATGTGTGTTTTCTTCCACTTACCTTACTGTTCCTGAGCCTTATCCTGTTGTAACATGAATCGATACTCAATTCTTTCTTATGGGAGAATAATGTTGCATTATATGGATATATCATGTTTTTCTTGTCAGTTAATAGACATTTTGTTTTTTCTACATTATGAGTGACACTGTTATGGATATTTATGCACAAGTTTTTACGTGGATGTGTATTTTCATTTCTCTGGGGTACATATCTAGGAGTCATAGTGTTGGGCCGCATGGGAACTGTTTAATCTTTTGAGGAACTTCTGGCCTATTTTTCACAGCTGCTGTGTCTTTCTACATTTGCCAGAACAGTATGTGAGTGTTTCAGTGTCTCCTCTTCCTCGCCAACACATTTTACTAGCTTTGTTTTTAATTGTAGCTATGATAGCAGGTGTGAAGTAGTATTGCATAGTCATTTGTTTCTTTGGCTCTTAACCCAGTCAGCTAACATAAAACTGAGGACTCTTGGAAATCAAAGTTTTAGTTTCAATATAAAATAGCGTTAATGTCTTGTAAGTACTGTTATTTTTCTAATATCTCTCAGGGCCTTTCCACTTCCACTCTCAATCTCATGTTTTGGTCAGTAATGTTATAACTACATAAGATCAAAGGAGTTTTTTAATCAGTGGCAGCATTTACCAGTCTCCTATCTATGTATTAGCACGCTACAAATGAAGATAAAACATTCCTCTGGGAGTATCACCTATGAGAATTAGTTTCAACCAGCTTAATCTCTACATGCTCATCATTAGCTCACTTCCATGTGTAAATGCATTAAGTTGTGAAGGCATCGCACTGAAATTCTTCCAGTACACAATACAGAAGAGCAGGACTATTGCATGTTTGTGTAAGATTTTTATTTAGTTGGAGCTGAAGAAGATATTATCACATTTTTCTTCTGCTTCTCTGAGAAAGGAAGAGAATTCTCCTTTCCATAAAATGAATTTTGTTCATTTGACATGTTAAGGTATAATTTTATTGTATTGATTATAAATCTCATTAGAAGGCACTAAACAAGACTTGGGAAGAATGAGTGAGCAGTTTTGGCTTGAGAGGCAGTGATTGTAAAGCAATAAATGTGAATTCTGGCACTGACTTGGTGGGGTTTTCTTTCATGTATCTTTGAATTAATGTTATAATCTTTTGGTTGTCTCACTTAGCAAATGATTGAGCTGAAGGAGAGGATCTTAAGGGTTCCTCTGGGACTGAAACTCTCATTCTCTGCTACACTGAGGATTTTTCAATGAAATGGCAGTATTTTTTCTATTGCTTATTCCTAATATTTATAGATGAGATGTTTGATTATTTAGTAAACATTTATTAAAGAAATTTTAAAAAATTCACTCAAATTAGGCAAAACAGAAGCATACTGGTGATTTGATGGAACAAGCTTTGGTTGTGCGATAGATTTCTGCACATGTAGAGTGGTTCTTTCAAAAACATCTGGTGTGCCTGTTTGCTGAGGTTGCATTTGATTTGATTCCCAGGAATAAATTCTAGTGCCTTATTCACATGCTAAGGGCCACTGAAATGATGAATGGGCAACTGCTTCAACTTAAAAAATATTATGCTGGTAGCAGATTTCGAACTTAGCCACTGTCTTCAGTGATTGCTGCCCAATGAATGACTCGTGTCTGTCATGTTTCAGCAGTTGTTTTCACTACAATAAAGATTGATTAGAAAGGAAATCTTATTTCTTGATTTTATACACTGAATGAATCTTTGTGAAAATGCTAACTTAAACTATGTGTTGTTCCTTCTCACTGGTTCTTATCGAAGGACGTGTTTTTCAGCCTGACTTTAGATTTTTAGATTTAAGCATATGCTGATTCATTTTAAAATCTCTCTCTCTCTCTCTCCCCCCCCCTTTTTTCTGCAGGATGTTTTCACCCCAGAATGCAAATTTAAGGAATCCGTCTTTGAAAACTACTACGTGATCTATTCTTCCACACTGTATCGCCAACAAGAGTCAGGCCGCGCGTGGTTTCTAGGACTCAATAAAGAAGGTCAAATTATGAAGGGCAACAGAGTGAAGAAAACCAAGCCTTCCTCACATTTTGTACCAAAACCTATTGAAGGTATGAAACCAATCTCTTGTCATCTTTGGACCCTGATCCGTGTGCTCGTCCAATTCTGCTCCTTTCCCTTTGCTCTGTAGGATTTGCCTAGAGTGCAACCGATCAAAACAAAGATTCAGAAATCACAATAGTACCTATTCCTATTAAAAATAATTTTAAAAGACAGTTCTGCTACAAAGTCTTGGTACTTCAGAAATCTATACCTGAATATGAAAGCTAGAAAATTCCTGAAAGTAGAAAAATAGTGTTAGGTACCGTTTGGGATGTAATTTCCTTCTTTGTTGAATACAATAATTTAATTTCTCTGGGTACATCTTTGAAAATCAATAATATCATTTCAGTTGATAGTTTACAAAAGGCTTTTAGAAATGCATTTATATACAGTATTAATCCCTACATCTCTATATCTCTGAACCTAACAACATACTATATCAATTTTTCTCTGTATTTCTTTAGGAAAGAAAAGATTATACTCTTTTCTGTGATCAATAAATATTCATGGCATTAAATTTTATCCTTTTCAATCAAGCCTCCCTTTATTCTGTATAATGTTCACTTTTTTCAAATTGGGCACTGAAATAAACCCATTTTTGTCAACTATGTTGTTTCCTCAAAATTCCGTTAAACTGGAGGCCAGTAATCCAACTGGGTGGCCACATTTACTGAATTCAGTGAAGTAAAAGCTAAATAATTAATCATAGTCTGAGTGTTTATCAATTATATTTTCTTCTCCTCTGAAAGTGAAGTTGCGGTCACTTAAAACATTGGCTCAACCTCCTTATCTGAGGAAATGAAAAATTTGAGGAACTCCATTGTGACTCTGTGACTTAGGTTTGCTGTTCCCTGAATATCTCACAAGATTTGGTCAAACAACCAGTGTACACAGTGCCTGCTGCAGTGTATCCTGCCCATGGCTGTAAAAGCCAGAAAATGTGTTACAGACAATCCTGTGTTCAAAGCACTGGGAGCAATGTGACATACAAAGCTCCTAGCCCCTCTCAAACCTATCCGTACATGGTGTCTCTTTAGCCACACAAATCTGAACTTTTCTTCCTGTGATATATCTTCATTATCCTGGGTGCCATGCTGTCCATCCTACTACCACAATTTCCATCCACTCATTTGTATTGTGTGAAAAATGCCAATTCACCCTTGTAAAAGCTGGATTCAAAGTGACTACTTTTAAATGATAGCCTCCTTGACTTTCTTCAAGAATAATTAAGCAGCTTGTCTTTTTGTAAGTGTGTGGATTTCAGGACCATAGAAATGATCATATTGTATTAAAATTTCCTATTGCCCTTCAGTCTCATCTTATTCATAGTTCATGTTGAGTAATCAAGACATTTTTACTTGTTATTATATGTCCTTGAGTCTTGTATAATATGTAGTATATCAGAGAGATATTCAATCACTAGTTGTCAATTAAATAAGCAAAATATGGAAATGAATGAATGAGCGGGTAAGTACAAAGTCAAAGTAGAACTGTGTTCTCCAGAGAACTTTATAATACCCTTAGAGATGGGAAAAATGTTTGCCAATAACAACATAGTATAGTGGAAAAGGTGATGTATTTCATGCTTCAGAAATTGGTACTGTGATTTAAGGGAAAAAACTCTGCCATAAAGAGGAAAATTCGTTTGAGAACCTGGGAGATAAATGTGGCTTTAGGGCTCCACCAGGACCGTGCAATTTGAAGTGAGAGGAAGGGAGGAGAGGACAGGCCAGACAAAAACACCTCACTGTGAGTAAAGGCAGGAAATGGCATGCTTTGTGGGATTCAGCAGAGGGTACTCAGAAGTGATATTGCCGTAGAAAAATGTGTTCATGTCCCACAACACTTCTGACAAATTATGCGTTCATCCCTTGCATCTTCTTTTGGTGCATTTAGGCTGATATTTTTGTTCTTTCAAAAAAGAAGAAAGGAGCACTAGAAGAGGGAAAGGGATTAAAATAAAGAAAACAAGCTGTATTACATACATGTGCTAAGTCCCCAAGATGACTGTAAAATGCATGTACTGCAAACATGTACTAATAAAAAATGATACATGGTCCTTAACAATTTTTGGAAAATTCAGAAGAGAATAAAAAATAGCCTTGTATTTTATTTATTCCTTTTATGGAGAATGTGTTTCCTAATGAACCTCTCCTGTCCCTAATAAGAGCAAATAGCTACAAAATTACCCTCTTAATTACAGCTGCTTTTTTTGCTTTGGGTAGTAGTTTCCTCTCGGTTTTTGATGACCATGTGTGGGTGTTCAAAAGAAATATATGCAATGATTAAGTTTCTACTGCCAGAGCCCCTTGAATTCTGTGTCTCCTGCTGTACTTCAGTACACATGTGGAAAGAGACAACTAGACTTCTCTAGTTATATAAGCTAGAATTGGATTCACCTTCTCACAACACAAAATCCATGTCAACAGCAGCTTGATCATGCAAATTCTCTCACAAACCTAATCTGAGACCATCGCCTGTGCAGGAATGGTACTGTGGTTCCCAACTGTTGGGGACCATGGGCATATCCAGCTTTTGTTGCCTCTGTCCAATGTGCTGCTGTGACTCACGTAGAACTGTGTTTTGCACTATTGTCACAACATTACACACTGGTCCTCACTGTGTGCTCCTCCTCATGATGCAACCAGAATCTTGATAATCAGGGGGCAGAGGAGGAAGGAGGAAGGTAATATCAAGTCTTGGTACCAGTGTTCTTTTCGAGATGGTCCTCAGTAGCTCTGCCGGGAGATACTTGCATCCCAGTGATCACAGTCAGACAGGTAGTTACCCTTACTGCGGGGAAGCTAACCATGTCACCTTGATTCTTCATACTCATACTCAGTGACTCGAGGACAATAGCCAAATGGGTATTGGGACCACTCACAACCTCTGTTAACCTCTTACATCTTCTTTACTTTCGAATACCTCTGATTTGCCAATTTCCTTTTTTCTCTTCTTTTGGTACCAGGGATCAAACTTGTGCTTTGTGAGGCAGGTGGTGGCACCACTGAACTAAATCCCTGTACCTCCAATTTCCTTTTTTATACCTATTAGTTTATTGTTTTATTTATAATTTTTGTTGTTTACTGATGCTTTATAGTGATTTTCTTATATTCAGGGAAAGAAATAGTCTATTCCAAATGAGATTTATAAATATCTGGAATTACTTCCCAGATTATCTCTTTGTTTGTGGGAATTAAACTTAGGTGTGAAGTATATGATGAGATTCACTTCTGAAGGTGAAGATACCTTACTTGGTTTTAGTCCACAAACCATTTAATCTCCTAAGATGTCTTTTATTTGTCTTAGAGAACAAAGTTCACTCGTTTGAACACTCTTAGTTAACTGTTTTCTACATGCTGACATTGTGTGAACTGTTTCAAGCATGTTTCAGTTACTGTCTCCATTTTCATTCTATCTCTGTGAGGCAGGCTTTAGTATCATCCCCATTTACACATGTGGCAAGCTGAGCACTGGCACATTCATTAATTTGTCCCAAATCATGCAGCTAGCAAGTGGCAGAGTCAGAATTCAAACCAAAACACTAAGGCAATGAAGTACTTAATCTCCAGGAAGACTTATGCAATAAGTTACAGCCTGAGGTAGGAGAAAGGCTGTGAATTTAACCTAAATATAAGGTTATGGGGGCTGGAGATTTAGCTCAGTGGTTCCGCTGCCTCCCTCACAAGCACACAGTTCTGAGTTCGATCCCTGGTACCAAAAGATAAATAAATAAAAGGTAATGGGATCCTACTAAGTATTCTTGAATAAAGGTCTTCTAATTATTTTTCCTTTTTAAAAAATTGAGAATATGCCTGCTCCTTAAAAATAAGTCTTTGTAGATGAATAGAGACCTTCATGCCCTTATAATTTACCTGATACCCATGAAATTGGTATGCTTCATATGTGATTTGAAGTCATTATTATGATATAAAATATAAACAATTGCCCAATGATTTTCCATGTTGTTATACTTCACGTCATTAACTTTCTATTAATATGAAAGATACCCCAGGTTCTGTCAGGTGTTCTACTTTTCATGGGCCCTCCCTCCTGTTGGATCCCTAACTATTCTTTTCCTATCACTTTTAGATTTTTTGTCAGTGCATGTTTGCCATGGATGATGGTTATGTTCCTTGTGTGAAATTGGTACATGTGCATAACACATCTTAATTCTTTTACCTTCCCTTCCCCTCCTCTCCGTACCCTCTTACTTCATCTCTTGATCCCCTTCCCCTTTGCGAAAGATGTCTCTATTTTCCATTATCTCTCTTTTATTTTGCCCTTTATTTGTCTTTTGGGTTTCTCATATAGGAGATTATTTAAGCTTGGATGTGATTTATTTTACTTAATGTTATAGTCTCAGGGTGCATCCAGTTTCCTACAAGTAACTCAGGTTTAGCCTTCTTTATGGCAGAATAGTATTCCCTTGTGTATATATACCACACTACTATTGTTACTACTTTTGTTGATCTTACTACTTCTATATACAACTTGTTAGTTTTGCATTTGTTAGGCAGATGCATACATTATCCTATAAAACATGACAATGTCCATATGTTATTATCCTTATATTTTAGCTGAAGAGAGTAATATTTAAAGCAATTAAATAACCCGTTCAAGGTCACAGAGCTAGAAAAGTCCAAGTCTGAGATTCTAATCCAAAAAACTTGCTGTTTATGCTGGTGTAGATCATGCTATGCTACATAGCCCTTCAATCTGAGGTGAGCCTATGAACACACCAATACTCAGAAAAGGCAGGATTAGCGATGCAGAAATACTGTACATGGTATGAGCCAAGTATCCAGCTGACTCTAAATGAGGCAGAATTAAGACAGGGTATGATGAAGAAAGTGCATATTGGGGGAAGATCAGATAGGACAGTCAACGTGATGCCAGGCTTAAACTGGGGATGAGAGGATTAAAAACACGTCACTTTTTTTTTGATGGATTCTAATGGGCATCATTTCCTTATCTGTGAAAGACTTTGGGCCAGATGATTTTAACA